ACAAATTTCTTTAAATTTTCAAGCTTTAGCCTTATGTCAGATACTTTTTTGGCATTTTTTTTTTGAAATTACATATTTGTCGTGATTTCGGTTAAAGTTCTTGTATATTAAAAATGATTCATCTTTTGGATTATGTTATTATTAGTTAGGTAAGTAAAAATCGTAAAAAAGTCGCAATTTTTGGTTGCAAAACCCTTGAAATATGGCTTTCTAGACGCTGAACACTATGCAACAGTTTAAAATGCTCTTTCGATTAGTATTTTTTGAGATATTAAGTAAGAAAAATTATTAATATTCCCGAAAAATAGACAAAAAAAAGGAAAAAAGCAAAAGAAAAACGAAAAAATCATTCAAAATAAATAAAAAATAACTAGATTATAAAATAAGAATATAGAAATACCCAAAACAGGAACCTAACTACAAAAATTAATGAAAATACAGAGAAAAAGGTATAAAAAGAGGAAACATTTGTGTAAACACAATAAAAATGAAATGATACTTAAAATAAAAGAAAATCAAACGACAAGAATACAAAAGATAAAATGAAAACAAATTTCTTTAAATTTGGAGCTTTAGTCTTATGTCAGTTACTTTTTTGTCAGTTTTTTTTTTTGTTGAAAATACATATTTGTCGTGATTTCGGTTAAAAGTTCCCGTATATTAAAAATTTTTCATGTTTTGGATTATGTTATTATTAGTTAGGTAAGTAAAAATCGTAAAAGAGTCGCAATTATTGTCGCAAAAATTCCTGAAACATGGCTTTCTAGACCAAAATCACCCACTGAACACTATGCAACCGTTTAAAATGCTCTACGATGAGTAGTTTTTGAGATATTAAGTAAGAAAATTGAGAATAGGGCTTGAAACATAAAATCTCAAGCTCAGAAATTATCACTTTTTTATCTTGTCAATTTCGTCTAGACTATATTAAAAAGGGTTAGTATAGTTTAGAAGTTTTATTTTTTTTACAAAAAAACAACTGTAAAACCAAAAAAAAAGCAAATCAGAATCAAACCAATTCTAAACAATAAGCTCATGTTTAATAAAAGAGAAATGAAAATAAGAAAGGCATAAAAAACAAAAAAAAAACTCAAAAGTATTGCACAAGAAATGATAATCAAAGTAATATACATAAAAGTAAGATAAAATAAAGAGTATTTTCCTAAAAATTTAGGACTTGGTTGCATGTAAGTTGCGTTTTTGACTAATAAAAAGAAAGACGGAAAAATGATTAATACTTCCGAAAATAGACAAAAAACGAAAAACAGCAAACGAAAAAATGATTTAAAATAAATAAACAATAACTAAATTATAAAAAAGAATTTAGAAATACCCAAAACCTAAGCCTAAACACAAAAATTAATAAAAATACAGTGAAAAATGGAGAAACATTTGTGTAAATTTTGAACGTAACATAACACAACGAAATGAAATGATTCTTAATATAAAAAAGAAAATCAACAATACAAAATAAGATTAATTAGATAAAATAAAAACAAATTTCTTTAAATTTCCAAATTTTAAGCTCATGTTAGTTACTTTTTTGGCACTTTTTCTTTGTTGAAATTACATATTTGTCATAATTTCAGTTAAAGTTCTGGTATATAAAAAATGGTTCATGTTTTGGATTATGTTGATAGTTAAGTAACTAAAAATCGTAAAAATGTGGCAATTTTTTTCGCAAAAACTCTTGAAATATGCCTTTCTAGACGTAAAATCACCCGCTGAACACTATGCAACAGTTTAAAATTCTCTACGATGAGTAGTTTTTCAGATATTAAGTTAAAAAATTGAAGGCTTGAAATATAAAAACATATTGACAATTTTTGTCTTTACTAGTGATATTCTATATACTATTTATGGTAGAACAATGATCTTTTTTTATAATGTAGGAAATTTAATATGCTTTTCAACGATAATAGACACAAAGGGGCTATAAATAATAGTTTCGGAATTATTAGCTGAAATAAGCTCCAGGTACCCAAAATCGCTCAAAATTCTGACAAGAATCAAAATTAAGAGACTTAGAGAAATAATTTTTTGCAAAGTTTTGTGTATGTATGAATATATTGGACTGAAACAGAGACACTGGCCAGGGGCGTCTTGGCGCAGCAATTTTTCTCTAATTTTAATTTATTTATTATGAATTGCAATGCATAACACCACCAACTTCCTTATTCCTATTTTTATCAAACCTGACGCTTGATCGTTATTCCTGCAAAAGCCCGGAAAGCTTATTACATATTAAACATTATCCTTTGTTCCCTTAAATCCGCATTGCCACATAAAACATTCATTGTTAGATTTAGCTCGAGCAGAGTTGTGAATTTTGAATTACATTTCGCTTGTAAAAATTCTATAATAGACATTCAATCAAAATATCTGCTTTCCGCTTGACTGATAACACCGTTTGCTCCTCTCCACACTTTCAGATGAGTTATTAATAGCTGCCACATGTACGTTATTTACACGTAATAAYTGTGCGTTTAACAGGACATTAGCAGGGGTAACAACTTTCAAAAT